TAAAATGGAGTACTACTCAGCCATAAAGAATGAGAAACTAGAGACATTTATAGCTAAATAGATGCATATGGAGGCCATACTCTTAAGTGAAATAAATAGGACACACATGTGTAAATACCAAATAGTTTCTCTACTGTGAGAAATTGAAAGTGTAAATAAGGATGAAAATGATTAAAATGAATAACTGATAATTTGAAAAAAGAAAAGGCCCAAGGGTTTGGGGATGGTGGAAGGGGAAGGGGAAAGGAAAGAAGGAAAAGGAAAAATTATGAGGAAAAAAAAAATGGAATCAAAGTCTGTGTAAATAGGGAATGGTGGAGAGGGTGAAGGGTGCACAGGTAATGGGAGAAAAAATGAGAACTAAGATACATCATGTTCTGGTACAAACACCCAATGATAAATGTAAATGTATTTTATACCTAAAATGTACCAATAAAAATATATATAAATTTTTAAAAAATGAACGTCTCTTTCCTTCCTTTATCCTTGAGGCTAATGACACTAATAATCACTGTAATGCCCAAAATTTTCTAAAATACTGACTTCTGTATCTATGATATTTTTTAAAGAATATGTCCTTTATTGATACTCCTTAAATATACATGTTGTAGTACATAATTTTTAACAGGAACTAAGTATTAAAAACTTTCACAACTTTACTGACTTTCAAAACAAAACAAAAGCACACATGCTGAAAACAGAAAGGATACAATTTTTTTAAAAATCACCCATAACTTCCAGCTACTTAACTGCACCCTCTGCTGGCTGTTAAAAACAACTGTAATTTATCAACAAAGACCAGAAAGAAAATTCAAAAATGAATGACAGATAAAGTAATTCATTTTCTTTCTTTCTTTTTTTTTTTGTTTTTAGGTACCGGGAATCAAACTCAGGACTTTGCACTTACAAGGCAGGCGGCGGCACCACTGAGCTAAATCCCCAGCCCTTCATTTTCTACTTCTATGGTAAAAATGACTTTACTTTTAAAATACAAAAAAATCATATCACTGCATTGCACTATATAGTTTAAAAATGCATAAAATAACAGATACATTTCAATATGAGTTTTTATCCGCGATCACAGTCACAAGCTCTTCAAGATAAATTTTCTCTTTACTCTGACCTAATACAAGCAGCAAGAATTGAGTTTATTGCTCACGGAAATAAACAAACCACAAACAAAAATGAACTTTAAAACCTGCAGAATAATGTTTACCTTCCTGTAGCTTATGACTAATCTGCTTTGTAGGACTTTCCTACACATCAATTAAGATATATGCACAGATGTAAAGTGCTACATTAATTTTCATTCAAATGTGCAGTGCTGGGCAATGAGAAAATGAAAACAAAGTTACCACTTCTGACCTAGAAGAATATACAGTATAGTAGTGGCTCCCTTTCATAGGAGGATGTATCATGACTGCAGTATGGTACACTTGTAAAAGATTTTGCATTGCATCAATGAAGTTAGTTATTTTTTATTCTTACAATACTTTATTCTTAGTCATATAAAATGGCAAATGCAGTCTGAGAAACAGAATGAATCCACATTACCTACAGATATGAGGATCTATCACCTGACAAAGACTGAAGAAAGAACATCCGGCATAACCGGCCTCCTTGACCTTAAAACCCAACAGGAAGCAAATCTAGTTCTTCTACTCAGGTTATACTGTAAATGTCACTCAAATACCTCAGAACTTCTTCTGCTTGCCAGGCTGCATCTTCTTCTTCTTCCCATGCATTGGTATTTTCTTGCCAGGTATCCAAGTCACCTAATTCAGACTACAAGGAAAAATAAAGCAAAAGTAAGAGAGTAGAGCCCTCCTCTCTCCATAAAGCAGTCAAGAAGAATATCTTTAAAAAGGGAACTGAGAACTCATCATTCTCCTATGGTTTTTCTCAGCTTCCCTACCATGCCTCTCCAGGCAAAAATGGTTCGGCTCTTGGTTTGCCTGGAACTGCAGGCTTCCTGACAATGCAAGACTTTCCGCGTGAACAGACCTGGGCAAGTCTACCCTTCTTCTCATACTTACTGGGGCTACTCTTTTATATTTAATGTTCTACTGTTGCTTACTTAGTTTGAATGGACAAGAATAAAATTTTTTTCCTGTTTCTCTTTTCAAAAGAGAAAAGGGACAGAGGAGAGGAGAGAAGAGACAACTGATGCCAGACCTAATTAGAAATGCTCGACTGAACTAATGTGGACTGAGACGTTTCCAGCTAGCACAGTCATCTTCACCTAAGTGTACACAATGTGTGTTTTTTCAGTGGCACTTCCTATCTCCACTCTAGGCAATGAGGCTAAATCAGGGAGAACTTATCTTAGCTGTGATGCTACTTTTACCTGATGCATTCCTTTCCCTGCCCTAGAGAGCTGATCATCAGTTGGTCAATACCTTTCACGATTTCCCAGGCCAGTTCTCTAAATGTTCATTTTTTTTTCTTCCAAGAACCAGTGAAAATGGTCATTCTAGGATGTGTGGTTAGGTGTGAAAGTGATAACGTGTAAAATTACTGAACAGATATTGTTTTGAGCACTTAGCCCTAAATATAAATGTTTTGGATTTTCCTCCTCTGACCATATATGTAATACCATCCTCTGTTAAAAACTATTTCTAATTATCTTTACTATATATTTCTAAAACTAGGTAACTCACAGAAAAGGGGCATTATTAAAGCAACTGAAACAAAGTATAAATGACTTGATATGCTGTAACAATTCAGGCTCCTGACAAACTGATACAAACTTTGTTTGTACCTTCATCAACACTGCTATTGGTCTTATTTTTTTATCTTTGCTAATTTGCTAAGACATACTTTGAATTTCTTCAAGAATGAATAAGATCAAAGTTTTCTTCGTGTTATTACGTTGTGTAATTCTCATTTGTAAATTTTCCATTTATAATAGTTAGCTATTTTTCCACTCAGGTATTTGGCTGTTATGTACATAAAAGATTTTGATATTAAAAAAGTAAAACTACTAAGACCATTAAAAAGGGTGACGGGGCTGGGGATTTAGCTCAGTGGTTCCGCTCCTGCCTCGCAAGCGTAAGGTCCCAAGTTCGATTCCCCGGCACCAAAAAAAAAGAGGTGACATCTGTAGTGGAGATGTCTTTCTAAGCAAAAAGGGTAAGACAAGGGCCAGGGATTTAGCTCAGTGGTGTCAAGCCTGCTGCACAAGCATAAGGCCCTGAGTTCAACTTCCAGTACCAAAGAAAATCCAAAGCAGATTATAAAGCCAAGAACAAACTGAAAAACAAAAGATGACAGAAAAAAATTAATATCACTAGTATAAAAAGAGTTCCCACAACACAAATGATGAATTTCAGAAGAAAAATAGAATGTTTGGTTTCAAAAAAGATCTAATTAAAGAAAGAATGATAGGGTAGGTATATCTGGTATAGAGAAGGAAGTCCAGTTGATTAGCATTCTCTCATAAGCAATCAAAGCTCTCCCAACATTGTCTGCTTGGTAGAAAATAGGTAAAAGTAGCACTGGACATTCTCCATCTACTCTATCTACCCCTTCCCAACTCTGTAAGTGGCTGTACACTGACAACTCACAATTACAATATCATAATTAATTCTACAGGCAGAACTGAACAATTTACCGCTATTAATCAAATGTACATGAATAAAGTTTAAAATTGAGAAAGAGAAAAAATTAACTAATATGATGTTATATTATTCAGAGAAATATCTATAATGTTACTATGCTTTCACAGTATCATGTAACTGCAGAGGAGTTATTAAAGTTTGTAATTGGGTGTATGATCATTTATTCAGTTATTATGCCTCCCCCAGCAGAATGCATTCTTCTGACATGAGAACTCTTTCTGCTTATTTACGTCTGTATTACTAGCATCTAGCACAGGGACTGTATTACTAGCATCTAGCACATGGACTGCATTACTGGGAACAGTTTTTGAGCGATCAATTCAAAATATGGCCTCAGAAGCTCCTGTGCAATTTAAAAGCCTAAGTAAGATTCATAGAGGGACAGATAAATGGAGTGATTTAAAAATATGTCCCCAAACTCCTTTAAAAGGTGTAGTTTAATTCATCTCCCCTCCTGGATTTAGGGGGCTGGATTTACCACCTGGCTTCTAATGAACAAAGTCCCACGGCGGTGACAATGTATCACTTGTGAGACCGTGCCATAAGAATACACTGTGGTGTTGGCCTATCTCATGACCTAGCTTCCTCCCTCCTGCGTCCCTTGCATTGGGAAAGTTAGCAGTTACACCCTAAGGAGATTCAAACAGCCCCATGGAGAGGTCCAGGGCAAGGAGCTGAGGCTTCCTGCCAGCCACCAATGCTAATGTGCCAGCCATGTGAGTGAGTCAACTCTGAAATGGGCCCCAGCCCAATGACACATACTCATTGGACACCCTAAGCCAGAACCATCCAATCTAGTGGCCTTGGATTCCAGATAGAAATTGCATGAGACAATAAACGTTTATTATGTTTTGAGTCACTAAATTTGGGGTGGTTACACAACACATCAATAAAAAAATCAATCAATCAAAGTCCACTTAAGCTTAGGTCTGAGGAGCAGTCCAGGTATTTGTGGGGGGTTTGGGATTTGTTTTGTGTTCTGGTATTGGCAACTAAAGCCAGAGCCTTATACAGTGCTACCTTCCTAGCACCTTATTTTGGTTTTATTTTTTATTTTGAGTCAGGGTCACACTAAGTTGCTAAGTTGTGCAGGCTGGGCTTAACCTTGTTACTCTCTTGCCTCAGCCTTCCACAGTGCTGGGATTACATGCCTGTGCCAACACACCCCATGGTGTTTAAGAAAACCCTCCAAAACTGATGCTGCTGTGTTCTTAAGGTTGAGAACCTCAGTCTACTTTGTTCACTACTTTTTAAGCTTTAAAAATTTCATTTTAAGTCAAATACATTTTCAATCAAATCATACTTTAAATGTAAAAATACTCCACGAGAGGAACAAAAATGTAACTCAAAACTAACATGCTGCTGGGCTGGAGATGTAGCTCAGCGATAGAGTGCTTGCCTAGCAGGCACAGGGCCCTGCAGGGTCTGATTTCTAGCACTGCAAAAACAAAACAAAAAATCAAACAACAGTAACACATTCTAACTTGCTATTAAGGTTAGTCATTTTAGGGGTGATCTTTTCAAGTTCTTACTTTTTAAATAGCACATTTTGTCTCTATCTTTCCTGTGTACAACAGATCCCTCATCTTGGTACCTTATTAATTTATAAACTCATAAAATATCAGGATTGGTACAATTCCAGGTTGACTTCTTGCAAACTGCTAAACATGTTTCAAAGTCAAAGAAATGTAACTATTCAATTCATTTAGAGTTTTTCCTTTTCTCTAAAAAAAAACAAACCAAACTTATTACTTATATCCCATTAATATACTCACAGATTGATGAATAAAAGGCATATCTTGTGTGGCTGCTAATCTACTGGAGAAACCTGTGCTACCATCTGGGTTGCCAAAATTTAAAGGTTCTCTCTTCTTAATAACAATCTGAAAGATTAGATGAAATAGGATTAAAGGGATATTTTACACAGAGCTATATAAAAATAAACAACTGACCACTGCATTTTGTACCTACTTAAAATATACTTTCTTTTTAAAATTTACAATGTAAAAACAAGAACAATAAAAAAGTCTGTACAGTGTACCAAAAGGCCCAAGTAACTGTCAAACAAATAAATTTCAAACGAACAAAAAAAAGTATATTATACTTTTAGAAAGAAAAAAGTGTATTGCACATTTTCCCCATCTCCTTACTTTTTTTGGATCCCCAAATACAATTAAGTACTTTTATTTATTAAATGACTAACTTTAAATAATTAAATAATATCCGGCCCAAAATACATGTGGGCTATCTACAAATAGTCTTTCAGGCCAGCAGTATTAGAATATATATTGCTTAATACTTCATAACTTTTATTAAAAGTATTTCCACCCTAATTAATTTAATAAGACATTATTAATATATACTAAATTCCTCTGGAAAACAGCAACACATTTCCACAACACAAAATATTCATCTATTAAGAAACTTAAAGGAGCCCTGAAACTTAGTACTTTTTAGTATTAAGACATTTGGACAATTCAACAAAACACAAGGTGAATGTTTTCAACCTTGGTAATGTAAAAATAAATGTGTAGCTGAAATTGACTCGGGTAGAAGAGGGTAAGGAACTTAGGATGTATAGAATAAATAATTTCCTCACTTTATAAAGTATATATAAGAAATATTTTCCGTATTTCACTGAATAACAAATGAAGCTCTAAGTGTGTTTCTCTGAAATAGTAGAGTAGATGAGAATAACATTATGTGAAGAAGTTGGACAGGAGGTGAGGCAGTATGAAATAAATCTTCATTTATCATAGTACAACAACACTGGGCAACAGAAAGGTAACTGAGTGGCTGCTTCTGGGAGGGACAGAAGTCTGTCATGCTTCTTTTGCACTTCTATATCCTTTGATTTTAAAAAGTACATGTACTATTTTGATAAAAAGGAAAATACTCAGCCACTGTACTTTTCCGAATAATTCCCTGTATCTCTAAAGTGATCCTCTGTATGGAATTCAAGAGATTAAATCAAGTGCAGATGGCTAACACAAACACATGAAGTTTCCAGAGTCCTGCATCACTTTATAATGGTTATAAACAATGGGACATACTTATCAGTTTGCAGATATCACCAAATTGCGAACTCCTTAGAACTGCTATCACAATCAACTTAGTCTCTCAAACATAGCCTGGAGTCTAGAATCTAAGATACAATTGGATTGTACTAAATGCTTAGCTGTAATGTTAAATGACTGGGGGACATAATTTAATAGATCTTGTCTAGCCTATCTGAATATAAAAAATTATTTAACTTGACAGAAAACAAACAATAATTACAAATAGGCTTTCTAATAAATAAGTCATCATAGTGTGTGATTTTACTATAGGAGTCTGACAAGTTTAATCCTCAAAAGCACAAATCCTCAACCTACTTTCTGAGTCTTTCTTATAGTAGGTGTCATGTCCTTAAAGTAGTCAGGTTCCAGCTGCTCCAAGGCATTCTGCTGTGTGGCCGCACTCCCATCCCCGCCTTCAATCTTTACGCTTGTGGGAGCATCTTCATCCCAAGAGGTCCACTCTTCCACATCTGTCTAAATTTAGGTGATCAACACCGTCAGCCACAAAGGGGCAACCTAATGAGCATCCTCATTCATCAGCTATTTGAAAAATGGGCTTTCTAAAATACTACCAGTTTTCAAACTTTTTTAACCCACAGAAAAATGTACATTTCAAATCACACATCAATTCTAAATCAAAATTTAAAAAGTTATTTTTACTGTGGGTTACACATTCTGACATATTCTATTGTCTTCTACTTTGTTCTATACTGACCACTTTTATTTTAAAAAATTTAAAGCAAAAATTAAAAAATCAAAAGCAAATGCTTTGGAAATTGAATTGACATTATAACTTTAGCCCACAACTAAAAGTTTCTGCCTAACCAAACTGATTGCTTGATAAAGCAAAACAAACAAAAAAAAAATCAACGCTCTCCCAGCATTTATATAAGATAGCGTCTCAAAACATAATATTCAAAAATCTCATAAACAATCCAGAATTAATTATTCAGCATGTACAGAACCAATCTTAATTCACATGGAAAATCAATAGTCGTCAACCGCTGGATGACATAAATGTTGGAATTATCTTTTAAATATATCTACATATAACTTTTAAGTATATAT